ACTGGTTGAAAAGAAGAAATGGGTGGATAAATTGACGTAGCAATACCAGGGAGGATAGTAAAATAGAAGACAAAGAATTTGAGAAGATCACAAACTATTAAGATCTGGAAATCAAAGTTGAAAGATTATGGCATAAATTGGCCCAGTAGTTCTCACTGGATACCAAAAAATCTTGCATGGAATTTAGAAAATCTGGGCATTGACAAAATTTCCATCTGTCAATTACAAAAACCACACTGCTTGGATCCATACATATACTAAGCTGATACATTACAACAGGAGTGTCAAACTCGCACATCACGTGATGTGTCGCGATGTATCACTTTTTTTCCATTGCCAGCAATGGAGCGGGCGCAATTTCAGCATAACGCATCCGGCCCGCAGGCTGGCAGTTTGACACCCCTGCATTACAACAGTCTAGGTTCTTGGAAAAAACTCAATGAAAATGAAGGCCAATATCACTAAAGCACTGATAGCTGTGACTTCACATAATTGTGAACAGATAATAATAATGATAATGAAAAAGCTTAGCTCTGCCTTGTTGTGGCTCCTTTTACTATGCACTTTGTTTTATGGAGGTGAAGAGACAATGAAATTCTCCTAAATGAGATGCTTTGTGTTCCTTTAAAGCCTTAGCCAGCAGTTCAAATAGCTGGAAGAGGTTCTATATATAAATCGCATGTCTGCAGAAATCTCTTCTAGCTAGTGGATTTACCAAAGGTCAGAGCAGGCAAAGAGAAACAGCTTTCAAGTGGTGCTTCACTTGAACCTTCAACAAAGGAAAGCATCCTTCAAAGATCTGTGGAGTACTGCTTGTAATGATTGGGTATTAGAACTGTCAATCAAAGCATGGTAACACAGGGCATCTCATGCCAGTTTATATTCCAGAGCAAGGAAGCAAGCTCGGGAGAAAGGGATTTAAGAGGTCTGGGTAGACAGACAAGTTTGACAGAAACCTGGAATCCTAGCCCTAAGACAACTTACATCAGTCAGAGTGACAGAGTTATAAATAGATATTTACTTTCAGGGAAGGCGATTAATAATCTTTGGACATGTTGTAATAGTAGTTTGTTTACAACCAATTTCAAGTTATTTAATATATGTTAATTGATTCCTTGTTTAAAGTGACTGCTGTTGTGTAATCTAACTATGTAATTCTGTAATGTTTATACTTATATACTACATTGTAGAAAAATCACTCAATTCTAGGGTTTGGTGGTGGCAGCAAAAGCAATAGATCCTTTAGGAATCTCAGGGTTTTGCTTTAATGCTTTAAGGAAAAAATCAAAATAAGAAAAGGATTTCAAGGCAGAGAAGTGATTATGTCTGTTTATGGCTAGAATTATTTTTTTTTTTAATACGGACACTTCATACCATGGCAATGCAGTAGTTAGAATGCAGTACTGCAGACTAATTCTGCTGACTGCTAACTGCCAGCAGTTCAATTCTCACCAGCGCAAGGTTGATTCAGCTTTCCATCCTTCTGAGGTCGATAAAATAAGGACTCAGATTGTTGAGAGCAATAGGCTGACTCTGTAAACTGCTTAGAGAGGGCTATAAAGCACTGTGAAGTGGTATATAACTCTAAGTGCTATTGTTATACTATTCCATATATCTGGATTTTCACTTTGTACCTAGCATTCAGGGGGAATCTTTTGAAAGGGCTTTTCTCTCAGCATATTTCCTAATTAGTTTTTTCTTCTGTGTGTTTTGGGCTTTCCCCAAACTTGCAGATAATGTCCTTCTGAATATGGATGTCTCTATTTCAGAACATGAATATTGCAATCATAGATGGTATAATTTTCATTCCATCTATTGTATTTAGTTTTTTTAAAAAAAATAAAATTGGGCTTGTTACCAGTTCCATGCTTCTATTACTGTTTCTGTCAACTGTATTTATTTTTCAGTTGTTTTGTGCTTTTGTTCCTGAGAAACTGTATTGAAAAATATAAAAGCCTATATAAATGTTGTTAAGTAGAAGAAATGGAATCAAAAAAGTATTTTTGAGATAGAATTCAAAATTGGAGTAGTGGATGAGAACACATATATCTGAAAAGGTATTGGTCTCTTGTAGCCATCTGTCAGTTTGTAGGACACAAGAATAGGATATACCATACAAAGAAATATTCTGGTCCTAACTGTCTAAATTAGGAACTACAATTTACATTGGGCTTAGAGATTATTCATTAGTGAAAATGAAATAAACTCATAGTCAAGTATTTGAACAAATCACCCAGACTGTCCCTATTAATATCTGGCAGAGCAATGACATGTACATCAAAATTCACAGAGACTCTTATGAAAGAAAATTAATGTGTTCCTGAAACTTTCATTAACACAATTCCAAACTTTTCACAGTAATGTGTTCTTGTAATATATCAGCCTTCTGTACTGAAAATAGGCAAATCTCATGATATTCCACTTTTGACCAAATTGTTACAAGAAAAAAAACACATATATGAATATTAATTGCAATATTAATTGCACAATGCATTGCAGTTGTAATCAGGAAATAGTTATGTAAAAGTATTATAGACTCTTAACAATGCCTCCAAAAGTAAGGTATCATTTATGGCTTTGGATTCTTCAGTGTGTACACTTTTTTCTATTTCCATTTTGTCCTATTTATTTTATTATAAACATGGATTCCAAACGCAAAGAAGGATCATCATTATTATAAATCAAAATATTTTGAATCTGACACTGGTGGCAATAGAAAAATTGGTATTTTGAACATGGTTTTAATGATAAGGGTGTAATGAGAAGTAAATTAATAAAAAAAACATTGATATTCAGTTCAAGGAACTGTTTAATGCCAGTGCTCTCCATCACAATTACAGCATTTCTACCCCAGAATATTACTAGAATCACCAGTCACTCTGCAAACAAGGATTATGAGGAGTTCTCTGGGTATCATACCACGGATTTCTAGAAAGCATAATTTTAACCACTAAAATGAAAGGAGGAAACATTAGCAATTATATCTGACCCTAATTATTCGCACTCCTATAGAGCAGGGCTTTTCAACCTTTTCACAGATTGTACCACATTTAGGATATGGCAGTATTCGAGTACCACAGCCTAACAAGTTGTCAAAAACTTGATGACCAAAAACAAAGGAAAAAAGTCATAAAGTAAAGGTAGTCCTTGACTTACAACAGTTCGCTTAGTGACTGTTCAATGTTACAACGGCACTGAAAAAAGTGACTTATGACCATTTTTCACACTTATGGCTATTGCAGCATCCCCAGGGTCATGTGATTTACATTTGGATGTTTGACAACTGATTCATATTTATGATGGTCACATTGTCTCAGAGTGATGTGATCCCCTTTTGCAACTTTCTGACAAGCAAAGTCAGTGGGGAAGCCAGATTCACTTAACAACCATGTTGCTAATTTAACAACTGCAGTGATTCATTTAACAACTGTGGCAAGAAAAGTTATAAAATGGGGCAAAACTCATTTAACAAATTTCTAACCCCTCCTTCTTTTATATCTTCTCCTCTCCCCCTCCTTTATATCCTCTCTTCTCTCCCCTTCTTTTATATCTTCTCTTCTCTCCCCTCCTTTTATATCCTCTCCCCTCCTTCTTTTATATCCTCTCTTCTCTACCCCCTTCTTTTATATCTTTTCTGTCCCTTCTTTTATATCCTTTCTCTCCCCTCTTTATATCCTCTCTTCTTTCCCTTTATATCCTCTCCCCTCCTTCTTTTATATCCTTTCTCTCCCCTCCTTCTTTTATATCCTCTCTTCTCTCCCCTTCTTTTATATCATCTCCTCTCCCCCTTTTTCTCTTCAGTGCACCTCCAGCTGACTGCTCTCCTCAAGGCTTCACTTCTCCATCTCCCTTTTGCTGTCTCCTTCTTTCCCCGTCTTTTTTTTTCTCTCCCTCTCCTGCCAAAACCTGCTCCGTTTATAACCTTTCCTCTTTCTCTCACCCTCCTTTTCTTTTCCGGGTGAGCTGGAAGCACCGATCAGCTGTAGCTGCACGCCCTGATCCTGGGTTCTCAGCAGGACCCAAGCAGCAACTCACGCAGCTCCAGTTGAATCTCCACCTGAAGACTGCATGGGGCTGCCTGCCACCCTCAAGGCCGCTACCATTCAGCTGGACCTGCGTGTGCCAATCCTGGGCTCTCAGCAGAACCCAGGCAACACAGCTCCAGCTGACTTTCCCACAAGTCTGTGCAGCATTGCCACCGCTTCACCTCATCCACTGTTACACTTTTTTTTACACTTTTTTTAGTGCTTTCCTACCCATTGTACACATATCACCTGCCAGGTGCTGATGTACCACCAGTGGTATGCGTACCACCGGTTGAAAAGTCCTGCTATAGAGGAAAACTATAAAGCTCTTATCTCTAGCTTGCCAAGTCAAGTACAGGCAAATAGCAGCACTGTACATACTTTAATAATAATAATAATAGTAATAATAATCCAGAACAACTTCTGGGACTTCAGTGTTTGCAAGAGCAGCATTTCCCTACAATTAATTAAAGCCACCCAATGTTTCCCCAGACTTCTGTGTGAGCTTTAAAAAAAAGGTGCCAGCCCAGCCAAAAAAACCTGCCTGCTTTAATGAATAACATAGAACTGCTGTGCTTCTGCTAATGCAAGTTTTGAATCCTTTCCCCGAGTAATTTTGGAAACTTGCACAGACCTATTGAAGAGGACTTTAAACTCAGCAGTAGGGAAAGATCCTAGGTAAGTTTCAGTTTTAGAAAGTTGCATTTTCTAAAAGTGAAAGTATTTTTACCTGGATTTTTAAAATTGATTAATAATATAAACTAAAACTTAAAGGAAAAGAAAATTTCAAACAGCTTGGGTTTACTTGATTTCAGATATTATATATGTTGATTTTGTGAATAAGGCACCAGACTAGAAAGCAGGAGATTGGGAGTTATTCATGAAAATCAGCTGGCTGATTTTAGGCCAGTTGCTTTCTTTCAGCCCAACCCACCTCACAGGGCTGTTGTTGTGGCAAAAGTAGGAGGAAGAAAGTATGTTGGATATGTTTGCTGCCCTGGGTTGTTTGTAAAAATAATAAAGGCAGGATACAAGTAAATAAATAAATATTCCCCAAAAGAACTGCAGAAAAAAAGAACTCCAATATTTTGTGTTTCTATACCACATTTAGCAGATTTCTATACCACCACCACAATTTTGTGGCTTTTTTCTTGGTTTTAATAGATATTTTGCCCAGCTGTGGATTGGATGGATGGATGGATGGGTAGATGATAGATAGATAGGATGATCTTTTCTTTTTAACACCTGCACCAAATATCCTATTATATAAGATATAACTTTATATCTTAACCTAAGTTAAAAATTATGTCCTGTTCTCCTGCACCTGCATTTCATTTTGCAAAGTACAGTTCTGAAGTCTTTCTTAATTGCATCTTTCTTAATTGCATCTTCATCCTTCCCCGAGCTGGAGATCTGCCTATATTTTATTATATATTTAAGCCTACTACATAAAGAAACTGAGTTTCACTCACAGACGTCCTTCTATCTAAAGAGGCCAGAGAGAAGCAGAGTGGAGAAATCTCCTCAAACGCATCAAGGGTGGGACGGGAGCGCTTGAGAATAGGAAATCAACTTTTTTTTTTTTTTTTTGCCTTGTTGGGGTGACGGGAGGACAGGACAGAGATGCGGAGAAGTGAGAAGATCCAGTTTTAACGACGCCGAGCAAAGCTTCCCGGAGCCAAGTTCACCTCAAACCGCTGGCCGTTAGTAAGAGATCGTCTAAAAGCGTCGATGCTTTGACCAGAAAGCGACGAAAGAGAACCAAGCCGCGAAATAAGCGAAGCCTGGGCGCGAGCCAGCGAGCGAGTGAGGGAAGGCGCGCGCGAGACCGCGCGCGTGATCCCTACGTCGCCTCCTTTCCTCGGCCCCGCCCGCTTTCGCTCTTGACAAAGCGGCTGCCAAACTCCGCCTCACCAGTCGCTTCCTCCAGCGCCCAGGCCCAGACTCTTCCCTCCGTCAAGGCTTCCAACTCCGGCAGCTTCGGATTGGCCGAAGGGCTGACAGGAGGCGGAGCGTGAAGTAACCGGCGCAGCCCGCCCTTCGCTATAAGCCTCTTTGCAGCTTTCCCACTCAAGCTCCCTCGCGCTCCTGTTTCCTGCGTGTCCTTGTACAACCGAAGGATGAAAACAGCCGCGTCGGGGAAATCTGCTCCAAACAGGCACAACTGTCGTGTGAACACGCACAGGCTCTACCGTCCGTAGCCTCCTCTGCTTCTTTTCGGTGGCTTGGCTTTTTTATTATTATTCCTTCTTTCCTTCCAAAAAGCGCAACTCCTCTCCTCCGTGTTTCGTCTGATTTGTTTCTTTTTTCCCCCTTCATAACCACCTATCCGACAACAAGTCCCCCTTCCCCCTCTCCTGCCGCCGCAGCCGCAGCCGCTCTCCAGGCCGCGGGAATCACAAAAGAAAGCTTTGGCAAGTCGGGTTGTGCGGACTTGAAAAGCCCAGGCAAGAAGGACCGAGCGAGCGCGGAAGGCCGGGCGAGGACCGGGAAGACGGCCGATCCCGCACGAATCCAACGAGTCACCCAGAGACACTTTTTTGAAAGCGTGTTGGCGTGTGAGGCGACCGAAAGAGAGAGAGAGAGAGAGAGAGAGACAGACGGAGAGATTATTATAAGCCCCTGACGAAATAGAAAAGAAAAAAAAAGAGAAAAGTTAAAAGGAGCGGGAAGAAAAGGAAGAGCACCTTGTGGGAGGAATGGTTGCCGCAGCGGGACAGGCTCGCCCCAGCCGTCGTCTTCGTTCTTGCTGAGGTGGGGATTTAAGTTGAGCGCTACATGACCGCGCCGAGCGGGGACTCACCAGCACCATGCGAGGTAAAGGGCGGGACGGTGTCCTCGGCGTGGCCGGGAAGGGAGGGAGGGAGGGAAGGGCCGGGCAAGCCAACCTTAGGAACTGCTTCTGAAGGGAACTGGAGAAGATTAGAGATGGAGAGGCAGTGGATGTTGTCACGTTAACAGAAAGTTCTCCCCCCCTTTTGGGAGGGCAGGTGTGCTCTATGTCTTCTCTCCTATCCCATGCCTTCTCCATTTTGGGGAGCGGGAGAGGGGTGAGGGTCTCTTTGAAGGTCCTCCGGAGGTGGTCCCTCTCCTTTCTACAAGCAGAAGTTTTGCTACTTGCGCTTCTGAGCGAAACGCTGGTGAGCAGAGATGCTCCCTTTGAATGGGAGTGGGAAATTTGAGACGGAGAAAAAGATAGCGGCTGCCTAGAGGAGGAGGAGGAGGAGGAGGAGGAGGAGGAGGAGGAGGAGGAGGAGGAGGAGGAGGAGGAGGAGGAGGAGGGCAAACTACATAGAAATGCATAGTTTCTACTGGAAACTTAGGTCAGCCTATCCCAAACTGGTATGCCATCCAGATATATTGGTACTATAACACAATGGAGGCACCAAGTTGGGTTAAACAAAGTGCATGGCCTGTAAGCAGTAATACGGAAAGGGCTCTGGAGAGAGGTGGGTCTAGACTACTATTTTGTCTAAAGAATGCTTGGCAAACAGGACGATGAGGCTTCTTTTTAGGCAAGTTTCTAAGCTCCCCATCCCCATTCCAAATACTTTAGATGCAACATCTTCCTAGAGAAAATGCAAATTGGCAGTGTTGGAGTTGTAGTCTGGCATTCGCCAGAACTGAAGAAAAAGTTCTGATGGAATCAGTTGCAGTGGGCAATGGATCAGCTCACTCTTTCCAGTGTGCACAGCTTTGGACAACATTCAGTAATGTTGGTCCATCTAGACACACATTTGTCTTCTTGCATCCAGTTCCTCTCCTTTGCCATGCTTATTCATCTATTTTTTCATGGCTCCATGACCCATTGAATGGCACTCTTTGTGGCTTTGCAGGCTTGTTGTACAGTATGCCAAACTTGAGGTGTTGAAGAGCATGACTGCAGGGGGTTACTAAAATATTTGAAGGAAAGGCTAATCAACTGGGAAACCTACTTCACTAGCAGCAGCAGTATACACACTTGTCATCATTCTCTGCTTCTGTCTTCCAAATATATTTCTTGAACATCAACTTTTCTGCTGGCCTTGAGATACTTTTCACTGATTCAAGTCTCTGAACTTACTTCTCATATTTAAGCATGTTTCCCTGTGGACTGATTAGGACATGATACATTGAATAGCAAGGGGGAGCTGGCACAGAGAAAGACAGAGAATCCAAAGATAGCATACTGATCATAATTCACGGAGCACTGCTATCAGTACAGCACTCCTATCAGCACTCAAATCACAAAAGGAAGTTGGATGACCTCTCCCACCTTCTCACTCTCAAATTCACATCCTCAACAAAATACAAACCCAGATTCTCATTCATTCCTTCAGCGCGTTATCCCTTATGGTGTCTCAGGTATGAAAGTGGCCTTGGCGTTGTTTTCAGGTTAAATTGCACAATCCTGTTGAAATTGGCCTCCCGCTTATCCAGCGGTTGGTGGTAGATCGGGCTGTTTGTGTTGGAGAGTATCTCCTAGATCCTCCCTCTCTCTCCGAAGACGCGCATCTACTTTTAAATCACGCAACTTTCCAGATTTATGCAGTTCTCGTTTCCAATCGCTCTTCATTAAAATAACGGGACTGGAAGTATAAAAGGCCTCTTATTTTATGCCTCTTATTTATTTTTTAAAGATCGCTATTCCCCCCCCCCCTTCCACGTCGCTTTTTTAAAAAAAAACAACAACACCTCACTCTAGTTACAGACTAAACAGAGGTGAACTTTCTTCTCTGGCGGCAGCTTCACTCCTGCTTAGTTAACAAGACCGAAAAAAGACAGACGTCCACTTGAATGACTGGAATAAATCTGAGATTAAGAGAAGAAATTACGGGGAACGGAAACGACCCTGTTAATTGGGATATCCTATGTCACTTTCTTAAAGCACTTGAAGTGCAGTTAAAGTAGAAAATACAGTACTTGGTGGTGATTCCGCAAAGCAAGCGCGGAATTTAAGTCTATTTGTTGACCCCTTCCCCATCTAAAACGGGGAGATCCTGGTTAAAAAAAAAAAACTTTCTAAATCGGAGAATAAGTGCCGAAAAAAGGGTTGGTAGTAAAAAGAGACTTACAACGCTTGTAGGTTACAGTGACTGGGGGAGGGTGGCTGTAAAACGACCCAGAGGTCTCGAATGTCCTTACTCAGGGGTCTAATGAAGGGATGCGCAGCTTCTCCCGGCGAGGGATAGACGCCTCCAAGGATCTGACCTCGCTTGTAACTCGGGCATTTGGGAAGAAACTAGGCTTTTAAGTTCTTAGATTGAGGAAGCTCCTGCTTCGTGAGCTATAAGAACCCCTCCCGGTCTTGAAATTCCTCCACCGTTAACTGCTGAAGATCTAAGCAATTATACACTCCCTCAAAGCGCCTTTTTACGCTTTGAACGTCCGCTTTGCCTTTGGCCCTTGGGGAGGGGTCTAAAAATGATTGGTAAATAAGATACCATAAAATTAGGCCTCCAATTTGACAGGTTCTGTCAAATACACCGAGCACTACTTTACTACAAGTGAACTCAACGGCATTCAATGAAATGTACTTCGAAGCAGGCGTTGGTAGTACCACCCCTCTCCCGGGCAGGTTTACTTGGGAATACCTGCCATAGAGTTCTCTCGCGGTTAAGATTCTGTAAAGACGGCTATGCACGCCTTTGGGAAATGGATCCCTTTGGTTGGCTGGGGGGGGGGTGTTACTCTTGAATCCAACCCCGCGCTAAACAGTTGCGTCCAACAGGTCCAGGTAGATAGGGACAAAACTCTGCTGAAGAAGTAGCACTAATGGGCGGAAGGGCAGGTAAGTGAAAAAGCATAGGATCAAGATCGCCCAAAGTGATTGGCATATTGCTGCTTCTGGATAAAACAGCCCCTCGATTTCCCTCCACGAGAGCCTTCTCTGCAACCTTTTAAGGCACAGCTGGTTGGCTCGTCAGTGGCCAGGGACATATGCAGTCAGGCGCTCCATATATTGTTCTCATCAGCGGTTGGGACCCAGAAGTGGCTTCGGGCTATCTGGCACTCGCAACTCGCAAGTTGTAGGGGGTCAGTTGGGCGAATTCGGAATTCATCTGCCAAAGCTTCGTTTCGCGTAATCTGCTCTGCGGCTGCCTCTGCTTGGGGTTGGCCTGGGCCTTTGTCATGTGCTCCACTGACCTACTTCTCTCGGCTGAGAAAATAGGTCCGAGGACCAGAGCAGGACCATCCCAGCCTCCAGCGCTTGACAGGCGGAGATTATTCAGCGAAAATTGCCGGAATCTGCTCTTCGTTCTTATCCCACGAAGTCTAAGCGCCCTGTGGACCAGCGCTCCGGCTTTCCTAAAGGACAAGCACAGACCTAATTTCTGTATTTTACTTTTAAAAAAAAGTTAATTTGAAAATAAATTGGCAGCCTGCATCTAAATATTTGACCCCATTTTTTAGGCCCAATCTAGTTACATTGTATAATAATTGTGCCCTACTTTATATTTTCCAATCCATCAGATCGTCTCAGTTTCCATATGCTACGTGGCTAATTCGATTTAGAAACCTCACCAACTCAGGTGCCCGTGCAGCTTATAAAACAGGCTGATTTTTTTTTTTTCCCGAGAGCCTCTCCTGTTACTTTTAAAGAAGCGGTTGGCAACTCCTGCTGAAGTCCGGAGTAAAGAGTGCGCCCTTTGCAAATGGAATGAGACCGGCCACTCTAAGGCGAATCAGGAAATAAGTTCCAACGATTTCAGCGGCTTTTACCTCAGAGGAAATATCAAAACGCTTTCCGACGTCTTTAGCCTGCTTTCTTTTGAAACCAATGAACTGGATAGGCATGGCGCCTTAGTCTGGGTTGATCTCAGCTGTGTAATTAAGGTATCCATCAAACGTACCCATCCTACATGTCCAGTCTTTTACCACTTCAATCTAAACTCCTGGGCGACGGAAACCCCTCCTTGTCTCACTTGATTCTCACAGCCCAGTCGAGCCAGACCCATTTCTTTGCAAACCGTTAAAAGTCCGGCCAAGGGAGGGCGGGAGATCAGAGATCTAGACAAAATAGTTAGGTCGATCCTGGCGCTTGTCGTGCACTTCTCTTGTTTGTCGTTTTTAATATTGTTATCACGAAGGAGGAAATGAGGGGAAGGCCACAGGACTCGACAGCGACCCGCACTGGAAATCAACACCCCACCCCCTCCTTATTTTCTGGGATCCCGCCTCTCCATTTGGAGAGCATTCGGAGATCGGAGGCCTGAACTTTTCCCTTAAAGGAACTGCTTTTTAGGGGCGTTTAGCTTTGGCAGAGTTGAGGAGCGGATATCTCGGGCCAACCGGTGCTATTTTAGGCCAAACTGGGACCGAGAAGCTGGTCTCCTATTGAGTTTCCTCTTGCTGGGCCGGCACTTCAAAACGTCTCCCCCCCCCATCTTGTTTTAAAAAGCCAATTGCGGGAATCCCCGACTTTCAGTCGGGCCAGTCTCCAGCTCTAGTGATTCGTTCGATTGGGAACCGATTTTGGTGGTTTCTGGAATATTAATCTCTCCATTTTTTAAAAAGGTTTTTGTCCCGAAGGCGAAAGTCCCGGGCAATCAATAGTCCATTGGCTTTCAGTAAAATCAAATCACGACTTTCCGAAGTTAGGGCAAAACTTCTGCTCAAATAAACGAAGCCGGGAGGTTTCCGTGTGTAATAAGCTGCGTTTCTTTTCTATAATTGTGACCTTAATAATACACAGAACTTTTCTGGAACCTTTTCAGAATCTTTTCCATCCCTCAAATCCCAAACTTCTCACAGCTTACTGATTTCACCCTACTCGGAACAAGCTGGAGGTCTTATCTGCCGCCTCAAGTCCGAAGGGGTCGCGGGAAGTCCAGCCA